CGTGTTGAATGAATTCTGAGTCGGTCGGCCGCGGAACAAGTCACGAAAACGTGCCGCCGTGTTTAATGCGATTTCTTTGACTCGCTTTGGTGTTGCTAATCATCGCCGAGGCTTCGAAGGGAAATTATTAGTTAGCTATCTTCATTTAACTTTCACTTATACTATGCACTATATTCTGTCTTCTGTGATTCTTATGCAGTCGTTGTAGGCTACGTATGACGGGCGCTTCACTCTTGGCCAGTACAGTCGGACAGTTGCTATGGCTAGTCTTAGATTGTAGTGACTAACTGGCGCTAGTTAGCGTCCACACTATGCCAGATGATTGACAGTACAGTTATTGAGCGCTTACGACCAAGTGTAAACCGCACATGACATTGGTATATAATGTCGTATGGCCGCGCAAGAAAATCGAGCATTGGTACAACAGTATGTCATATTCAAAAAGAGATTCAAATATATGGTATATTATGACTTTGCATATTCCTCGAAATGTAGTAACAAAGTATTTATAACTGACGTGTAGAGTAGGTTCTTATTTCATACAAGCTGTCGCCCGCAAACTTCGTTAGCGAGGATTTAGCAAAAAAAATCATCTATCACATTCCCGCGTGCATCTACCTTCTACCAGCTATCTTTCAGTCAAAGTTCCGTCCAATTCGGTCCACCCGTTCCAGAGATAGGGGTCCAGTCGCCATTTTTACAGTCCGGAATTTTAAAAAGTAGCGTATAATATGCCCGTCTATGTCAGTTACCCTTCAGTAAAAGTCCGGTCGACATCGGCCCGGCCGTTTCGGAGATGTTTGTTTTAACTGATATATTTTTGTCTTAAAAATGATCAATATGAAGGGAGCAGAAAGCTTTTTTTTTTCTCTGTTGGTCTAAATTAAATTTGTTTTTATAGTGTTTTTCTCAGTTTATAGAATAGAGTGCATATATTAATCGCAAATGGTCACCTCTAGCACCCAACGAGAATACGTCGAATTACCAATACCCTGAATATTATCTGACGTGGCTGGCATGACTGGGCACAGCACCGGTGCACCGAAGTGACTGTGATATGTCCTCTTACTTATGGAGTTAAACGAGGGTTCTGCTTGAAGTTTCAGCAAAGAGTCTGCATCGCAATGCTATCATTACATTCTAGTCTGTTTTGTGCCGATATAACATACTAGCTTTCACCCGTGATTCCGTCCGCGTGGAATTAATAAAAAAACAAAAGTGAGTAGCCTATGTGTTCTTCCAGACTATCCATCTATCCCAGAATTCATGGAAATCCGTTCAGCCGTTTAGGCTACAAACTCTAACAAACATCCATTCATCCATCTATCCATCCATCCATCCATCCATGTAAACTTTCGCATTTATAATATTAATAATTAATAATTAGTAAGAGTAAGATTAGTAAGATAAGATAAGATTACTAACATAGTATGACCCGGCCGCCGCTCGACAGCATGACCATCTGACACTGGCACAACTGCATGTGCCGGGTGCC